GGCCATGCTGGTTTCCATCGCCTCTCTCCCTTCCTCGCGGATGTGACGGGGTGGGTGCTTGTGGCGCGGGCTCCGGGGACACTGACACCCACACCCGCACCAGCACCCGCACCGACTGGCTTTCCTCCCACAGGCAACGCGGCGCTCCTCCTCGTCCTCTGCCTGCAGCACTCCTTCCCCGAGCTGGGCAATCTCTACCTGGACCTCATTCTGGCCATCCTGGCCCTGGAGCTGCTCTGTTCCCTGGCGTGTCTGCTCGTGTACACAGGTGAGAATCGCACGGAGCCTGTTCTGATCCAGAAAGGCCTTTACTGCTGGTCGCAGCCCCACTTGAAGCCCCGCCATCACCTTTCTGGCTGGAAGAACTTACTACCTGACCCAGACCCTACTGAGCACTCATCTCTCTCCTTGCTGAGCACATCCAGACTCCCCTAATTTCAAACCACCAGGAACTTACCATCGAGTCACAGTTCCAAAGCTGTGTCATCGACAAAGTTTTGTCAATGAGAATGACAAAAGCTTTTCATAAAAAAAGAAAATGAACAAGAAGATTCACACACAGCATTGTAAAATGATTATAAATCAATAAAAAATGTTAAAAAAAAAGATTCACAAACTTTTGCATCCTCAAAAGGCAACTGAGACATAAGTCTGGCTTTAAAATTTAAAAGTAACAAAATATAAAACAAAAAAATAATACATGCAAAACTGCATTTAGCCCAAACTTGCTTTGGATAAACCATTTAAGAAGCTCCTTCTTTCTAAATTTAGAGCTGTCTGAAGATTGGTGTTTGTGCCCCTCTCAAAACTCTCAGTGGTAAAATTAAGTAAGCTTCAAATATGTTAACATGAAAAATAGATAGAAGGCTACTTTAAAAGAAAACAATCCAGGCCCAGAAGAAATCAGGATTTCATTCCTGCTGCAATATTGACATGCACTAAAATCTTTAATAGCACCTGATTTGGTGGCATTGAGCAATAGTTGTTTTGTGACAATAAAGTACTTTATCTGTCCATTTTGAAAGATCATTTCCCTTATGAAGGGAAAGGGACATGGGCCAAAACTTGTGTTTCATTTTACTAATGTTTTTGTGCTTCTTTTGAGGACTAAAGTATTTAGAATATGAATGGAGTGACTAGTTTTTAAATCAGTAATGTCACGCCTTTTTTTTAATTGAGGTATAATTGACATGCAACATTATGTTTCAGGTGTACAACATAATGATTTGAAAATGTGTTTATATTGTGAAATGACCATCACAATAAGTCTAGTTAACGTTGTCACCATAATCACAGAATTATTTTTCTTGTGATGAGAGCTTTTTAAGATGTACTCTCTTTACAACTTTCAAATATACAATATAGTTTTATTAACTATAGCCACCATGCTGAACATCACATCCCTGGGACTAACTTATGTTATAAAGAGAAGTTTGTACCTTTTGACTCTCTTCACCTATGTTGCCCAGTCCCACCCCCCTACCTCTGGTAACCACCAGTCTGTTCCCTGTATGGATGAACTTAAGTTTTTTTTGTTTTTAAAGTCCACACATAAGTGAGATGGTCTATGAGCTTGGTTTTTTTGTTTGTTTTTAGATGCTGCATCTAAGTGAGATCATACAGTCTTTGTCTTCCTCTGACTTATTTTACTTAGCATAATGCTCTCAAGGTCCATCTGTGTGTCACAAATGGCAAGATTTCATTCTTTTTATGGTTGAATAATATCCCATTGTACGCTCGCACACAGACACATGCAACATCATCTTTATCCATCAGTTTATCGTGAACACTTAGGTTGTCTCCATATCTTGGTTATTGTAAATAATAACTACAATGAACATGGAAGTGCAGATATCTTTCCCAATTAAGTGTTTATATTTTCTTCAGATGAATATCCAGAAGTAGAATTGCTGGATCACATGGTAGTTGTATTTTTAATTTTTTGAGGAACCTCCATACTGTTTTCCATGGTGGCTGCACCAATTTACATTCTCACCCACAGTGCACTTTAGTTTTAAAGTAAGGTTACTTTCTTAGCGTACAAGAAACAGCTCAATACTTCAGTAACGTGAGCCATGTGTCAGAATGAACACCGAGTTATCTTGTTGACTGAAGTCAGCTCCAGCCTGTGACATATCTGTCAAGAGTTGTAAACGGGGGTTCCAGTTTAGGTCTGAGTGTGGGGTTTATCTAGCATGTTATTTTATAGTATCTCTAGAAATTTATTTACTGCAAGGAATGCAAGCCCTCTGTAAAGTATCAGGTGGGTACTGTTTAAAAAGAATTTTCTTTAATATGTATATGTGCTCTAAGACACAGAAGGCAGTGACAACTATATTCCAAAGATCATGTGAATGTCATCATGTAAATAAGGGGAAATTAATACAGTTAATATGTAGTCTAAGATTTTTCTCTCTAGGATTTACTCTTTTATTTAGAGGATTTACTGTAACATTTAAAATTAATTATACAGGGGGGAGGGTATAGCTCAGGGGTAGAGTGCGTGCTTATGCTTGAGGCCCTGGGTTCAGTCCCCAGTACCTCCATTAGTAAAAATAAATAAATACAAACCTAATTACCTCCCCCCAAAATAAAATTAAATTAATTATACTACAAATAAGATAGTAATGTTAAAAACAAAAGAACAGAAACCTGAGACCATTTAAAAGGAAATAGAGGAAGCAGATGTTCCAGGATTCCTGAGGGGAACTAATTTTTACATTTGGGCACAAATATATTATTAGCTCCATGACACCTAAACTGTTTTAATCCATTGTCTTCCTTATTAAAATGAATTGCTTTGGTCTGTAGTCAAAGACTTATTAGAAGCATATTTCACCCTTATTCATAATAATTAAAAATGTTTTATCTGAATAAAGTACAGCATTAAACATTGTCTTTTTATAAAGATAAACATTGAAAATAGTAGAACTTGTGAATATGGCTGCATATGTTCTTCTGGAGCCAAAAATTACCCAAATAAGTGGGAACATGAAAAAAAAAAACCCTCTTTAAATCTCATATTGACATGCTTCCTACTTTAAGAAAACCTGATAATTGGTAATTCAGGTTTATAAAATAAATAGATGATTTACATAGGAAAGGTTTTAGTTTTTAATTTTATTGACATATAGTCAGTTTACAATGTCATGTCAATTTCTGGTGTACAGCACAATGCTTCAGTCATATAGGAACATGCATATATTCATTTTCACATTCTTTGTAACCATAAGTTACTACAAAATATTGAATGTAGTTCCCTGTGCTATACAGTATACGATTGTTGTTTATCTGTTTTATATGTAGTAGTTAGCATCTGCAAATCTGGAACTCCCAAATTATCCCTTCCCATCCTCTACCCCCCCAACCATAAGTTTGTTTTCTATATCTGTGAGTCTGTTTCTGTTTTGTAAATAAGTTCGTTTGTTTTTTCATTTTTTCTTTCTTTCTTTTTTTCTTAGATTCCACATATAAGTGATACCATGTGGTATTTTTCTTTCTCTTTCTGGCTTCACTTTCACATTCTCCAGGTCGATCCATGTTGCTGCAAATGGCATTATTTTATTATTTTTTATGGATGAGTAGTAGATTTTAGTTATTATAATAATTATAAATTTACTGGACTGAAGCCCTGGGACCCTGACTCCCTGGCTTCCCTCTCACTGCCTCTGCGCCCCAGCTCGTGGCCCCATCTTCTCTCTCGCTGAGCTCCCTCCGCCCGCATGGTGGCGCCCGCAGCCCAGTCCCCGTCTCCCATTGCATGGGAGCCTGGAGCCCGGGACATGCCCGCTGAGGGGCTTCTCATTTCCAGCTCTCTTGGCCACCACCTAAAAGTCAAGGGCTTCTCGTTACATCCCCTCACTTCGGTCTTCCCACATCTTATGGCCTCCTTCCTCCTAGTCCTTTCTGATGAACCCCCTGTGTATCTCTAAACCTCACATTTCTCTTCAACCTCTACTTGAGCTTCCTCAGCCTCCTTCTCAGCTGAGTCACTTCAGAGTCATCTGTGGGGCCTGGCAATTCCACGACAGGCTGAACATGTGGCTCAGCAGCCGCACTTCTGGGTACATGTCTGTCTACATCCGCACAAAGGTTCCAAACGGCGCCATCTATAGGAGCCAGAAGTGGAGACAACCTGAGTGGTGCTAGGATAAACTGACGACCAGACCAGCAAAACGTGTCCTGTCCGCGCAGTGGGTAGGATTCAGCCGAGAAGAGGGAGGAACAGAAGGACAGGTGTACTGACACGTGCAATGTGGATGAGCCTTGGAAACACTGTGCTCAGACTTTTAAAAAGCCAGTCATGAATATTGTATGATTCCCATGTGTATAAAATACCTAGAACACGCACACCTATAAAGAGGGTAGATTAGTGCTTGCCTGGTCCTGGGGGCGTGGTGCGTGGAGAATGACTGCTCCCGGGTACCGGGCTTCTTTCTAGGGTGACGAAATGTTTTACAGTTGATTGTGGGGATGGGCGCACAACTCTTAGAAGGTATCATTGAAATGTACTCTTTAAATGAATGCCATGGGAATTGTATCATACCTGAGTTATATCTCAAAGGTGGTTACAAGAAAGGAAAGAATCATATGTGGAGTTTTGAAAAATAATGCGGGGAGGGCGTCTAACCTGCCCCCCACCCCCACCCACATGCCAAATCCTCGACCCACTTGGAGCTGCACAGACCTGGAATTCTCAATCCTGCCTAGGGGAGGGGGGCAGTCACTGCCTTCACTGGGGCCTGGCTCAGCCCTTGTTTGTCATCTCTGCTGGCTATGTCCCGGGCTTGTGGTGCAGGTCGGGGAGAGCCCAGGCAGTGACTGTTACTCGGACATGCAGGTCATCCGGCTCTGACTGTCGTCAGATCTGCGAGGTGGGAAATTGCAGCCTTCGTGGTTTCTGCATATTTACCTCTTTGCAGCTGGCGTCTACCTATTTGCCTTGGCCTGCTGGCTCCGCGTGGCAAATACCCAGCCAGGGTGTCTACAACACTGATTTTCTCTCAGTTCGGGAAGCTGGAGTCTGAGATCAAGGGGCCTCAGGGCTGCTTTCTCCCGAGGCCTCTCTCTTGGCGAGTGGGCGCCGTGTTCTTGCTGTGTCCTCACATGGCCTTTGCTCTGTGCATCTTCGTTCCTGGTGTCTCTTCATCTATCAGATCGGCCTCCCCACCCACTCCTGCCAATTGCTCTGTTTAACTTTGATTACTTCTCTAAAGGTCCTGTCTGCGAGGATAGTCATTGAGTTAGGGCCTCATGTTCACCTGTGGTTCCCAGTTTGCCCAGTTCACCAGCTCCTCCCCGTGTCTCCATCTCCCAGCAACAGACCCTGGTGGCTCCTTCCTGCCTCTTTTCCTGCCTCTCTGCATCGACATTTCCAATCCCTTTAAGCAGGTTTTCCCTACTTTTTAATTCACTTTATGAAGCAATTTTTGGGCATGTTATTTGAAAAAAATAGCCAGTTATTATTGTATTTTGAATAAACGGAAAAAGAACATTTTTCATGATTAGGTAGTCTGACAATAATGACTTTATTATTTTAGTGAAAATTCGGAAATTTAATAAAGCCAAGCCACAGCCTGATGTACTTGAAGAAGAAAAAATCTATGTTTACCCCAGCAATATTACCTCGGAGACGGGATTCAGGTAAGTGCAGAGTAAAAGACTAGAGAAAGTGAATTTAAAGTTTTTTGTTTTTTTTTTTTCCTTCTGGAAACCCAAGACCATCCTAATGCTTGGCGTTGAGGGCTCGGTGTGTATTGGAATATGTTTAGAACTGTATGTGCCCAAGTCTAACGGAAGAGCCTCACTGGGGGCTACTGCTTTGGCTTTTACCGTGTAAGGAAGGGTAACAAATGCGGGGTGCTGTACTGAACACTAGGGGGGGACTGTTTGCAGAGAGACGGCATGTGTAACCCACTCCATCTGGGCTCTTTGCAGGACTCTCTCGAGCCTGGAGGAGATTGTGGAGAAGCAGGGGGACATCATCGTGTACCTGAAGCGCCACAACGCGCTGCTCAGCCAGCGGCTCTTGGCTTTCACGTCCTCCGACCCTGGCTCTCAGCCACGTGGGCTTTGACAGCGGTTTCAGACGGACCCACCCCCGACAAGCCATCTTAGGGAACTGCAGCCTTGCCAAGTGACGTTTTACAGCTTTTGTTGGAAACCTAAATTGGGTTCTCACCTGTGTGGCTGTAATAAGTAGGACTCGAGGGTCATGTGAAAGGCACTTTGGAGAGCCGCGGTAACTCAAGGGGAATGTCTGTTTTGCACATTTTGGAATTATATAACTGCCCGGTTTATCCGAGGCATAGGTATAGTTTAAAGTTCTCCTTGACTAACCCTTCTTGCAAACTCATTGCAACCCTGTAATAATTTGGCATTTTATGGAATAAGTCTGACAGGACAACCTGTTTAAAACTGGGCTTTGAGCAAAGAAGTTTTCCCTGCTTTTAAACTGGTCAGAGAAGCCGTTCTTCCTCGTGGTTAGTGTTTTCTTCCCGTGGAGCCTCATGCATTTCATATGCTTGTGTGGTGTTGGATGCCTCGGCCCTTGTACCTTTTCTAGAGAATTTCTTCACTGTAGGACCAAGGTCTCACTGGGGCATCTACTTTGCAGCTCCTACAGGTTTCCATTCTCCAGAAATAAAGTCTGAAGATGACTTGGACCAGTATTAGACCAGCCAGTGCAGCTGAACTGCTTAGGGAAGACTGCAGGCTCTCTCTTTATTTTGGCCCTTCTTGGAGAGGCTGCCATGTGTTTCAGTATTGACTGTCATCAGATCGGTACGTTCAGTGACAGGAAAGATGTCTGTGGCTGCAAGTTTGTCTGAAAGAAAAAAAAGAACACCTTTTTCAGTCTTAGATTATACTTAATAAAAATTATGATGGGGAGAAAGTATCATATCATCTTATACGTGGATATTAAACATATCTAATTCTCCAGATAAAATGAAGCATTTTTATGAGTAGATGACATTTTTCCTGCAGTTTTCCTAGTATGTCCCTTTAATTTATCAGTTTGCTATTGGAACCTTCACATGCTGCCTCAGAGAGACTTCAGGCTGAAAGCTAGCACGAGGGAGGGGATGTTTGTGATTATGTATGCTGCTATTTTTTTTCTTGTATTTAGCTGAATAACCAATATTTGATTTAAAAATCCTTGAGCTATACATATATTTGGCAAGGGGTGTATTCGCTGGGCCATACCGTACTTTTGAAGGGCGGACATCTATCTCCTTCAGATACAGCCACTGGGAAACATTCTGCAGGTTTTCTGCTAAGGGCAAGGTGATTGTGTGTCATCAATAACCAATACCGTCGAGTCCCCAGAATGACAGTGTTCACAAACTAAAGCCGAAATTGTGTTTTTAAAGTTCAGATTGTATTCAAGTTTCCAGACTTTTCCTCCTTCTCTTCTTTCTTTCCTTTTTAGTAAGCATATCTCAAAGCCATTGCCTCCTGTGGAAATCTGTCTGTGTTCTGGAAGGGCTTTTGCCTTTAGCTGTTTTCCTTAAAAGGAAAACCCCGTGGTAGATGAGGAATTCTCCTTTATTTTTAAATTAAATTTGGATCTTATAGTCAATTTCTAAGGTTTATGAGATGAATTTTGGTTTACGGAGAAAGGTACAATTTAAAAGTTAGAATACCCAGGTTCTGCCTGATGTGACGTCTGTATAATCACCACTGCGCTTTCCAAACCCAATAATGAACATTTCAAACAATAAAAGGAAATGGAATTATGAGAACTAGCAAAAAAGAATGAGCAGAACTGTTTACATGTTAAGCGTTCTATGCACCAGGCAGGTGCTGTGCCAGCACCATGGGTACAAAAGTTACTAAGACAGACCTAGTTGGTAGCTGACGTTCTAAGGAGAGGACTAAGGTTTCCAGGATCGGTGGTAAATGAAATGATGGCAGTTAGCCCAGGGTACCACAGGGATCCGGGTCAGAGAGCTCCCTGAGGGGACAGGCTTTAGGAATTCCAGGAAAATGCATGAGTAAAGAAAAAGGATGAGCAGCTACAGATGATGTCAGCACTGTGTGCAGCTTGAGCCCGATGTGGGCAGGACATGGGAGGGGCGGCCAGCGACAGATTCTGGGGGGCCCTTGATGCTCCCTGTGCCCAAGGGGTCTGTGCTGGGATGGGGTTTGCTGAAGGGTTTCAGGCAAGGAAGTGGCAGTGGGTTTTAGTTTCAGGAGGATCAGGCTGTGCAGCGTGGAAAAGCAGGCAGCAGAGTGACATGGCCCTGAAATAGGGCAGGTACAGTCACACTTTATCAAGGGTGTATATGTATCTATCTGTGATATGTTTCTGTATTTTTAATTTGGGGGTTTACTTCAAATGACAATAGGATCATGACTTACTGAATGAATACTAATGCAGGTGAGCTTTTTTTTTTTCCCCATACCCTTTGGTCTTTTTATAAATCTTTTGTGATGTACTTGTGTAAGTCTTTTTCTTATTATTCTCCTAGGATATTTTTTTTTCTTAACAGGCAGTCTTCCTTTATATATAAGGATAGTCTTCAGTTTGTATTTGTTGGAAATATTTCCTAATTTGCTTTGGGTTCTTTTGCTAGGTGCTCTGTAAACACCACAGCCTGGATTCTGTCCCCACAGTGTTGGTGGAAAGTTCACTGCACGTCGGGTGAGAGCGGCACTGGCTGGAGGGAGTGTTAGCATAGCCAGGCTTCTGCTGGAGGCCTTTTGTCCTCTTCCAGGGATTCAAGCCAAAGTCTTACTTAATTCAAGTTAATTCCTTTCCCTTTTTTTTCTCCAAGGCAGTGTTCTCCAACTTTGGCACTGTTGACATTTTGTGTTGGAAGATCTTTGTTGTGGGAAGTGCCCTGTGCATTGTAGGATGTTTGGCAGTATTTCTGGCTCCTGGGATGCCCATAGCAACCTCCAGTCTCCATACATGAGCATTTCATTTCATTTAACACTTGATGTTCAATTGAGAGCTGACATCCCTGACATGCACCAGAGGGTGTTGGAGGTGCTGGGAATGCAGGGGCCAATCAGAAAAGATTTCTATTCTCGTGGAGTCTACATTCTAGTGGCTGGAGTGGAGTGCTGGAGGGGGAGGTGGAAGTGAACGCTGTAGACAGATAAGCCAACAGTTGGGTTTGATGGATATGAATCTTCTGTAAATTAGACCACGTGGAGTATTCTGATGTTAATGTCACTTGTGGAAAGAATTTAGCTTTTGTGTTTTGTAGCCATTCAGAAAACTGAATGGCAAACAAAATGAACTTAGTGTCCTCCCCCCATCCTTTTTTATAGAAGACATCATTATTCAGTGATCTCACAACCTCATCAGAGATGCTTTTTGGAGTCTTGAATACAAAACTCCTATCCGTCAGTCTCGTGAATTCTTGAGGAAACAAACCTCAACTATATGATAATCACAAGTCAGAAGAATCTCAAAACATCCCCTGGGTTTCCTGAGGAAGAGTGTTTCCCTTCAGGCTTTTGTTCACTTGTCTTTCTCAGTGAGGCCTGCTCCCCACACTCAGCCCTCTGTCTCCCTTATCCTTCTAGGGGTTCAGAATATGTCACCCCAAAATATGCCACTTTGGCATATTGATTATTTTGAACTAAAGTTACCTGACAACCACTACAAGAAGGAAACTCTGACCCTCCTTTGCCCTGTGAAATCAGGGGATAAACCTCCCACGTAATAGTTACCCTCCCTGTACCAGTGAAACGGAGCAGGACTCTCCAGGGCCCTCCTGAGTACAAAAGCCCCTCCGTGCCCCCATTTATTATTTGTATAAAAAGGCTTTAGTATCCTAGGCCCTTCCTGAGTTCCAAAGAGCAGTTACTTATTAGGGAAAGGAGGGAGTGCAGAACCAAAGGGAAAGCAGTCAAGAAACAATAGTACAGCAATAAAACAGTCCTAGTTCCTCCTCATGGGATACACATAACCATCTGATGCATATGTTTGAGTTCTGCAGGAACTAAGACCCCCCACCCCGGTGGAGGTGCGTGCTGGGCACAAGCATGTAGACCCTAGACCTGAAGCCAGAAGGTAGATGATTAAGATTTCTGAAACACCACCCTGTTACCTCACCACCAACCTGTCAGAGGACAGGTATCACCACAAACCTATCATGCACCCTGCAGCCCTCACCCCAAAGGTTGCCTTTAAATTAAAACTCTTCCCTCAAAGCCATCAGGGAGTTCGGGACTCTTAAGCACAAGCTGCTTGCTCTTCTTATTTGGGGCCTGAAATAAATGTTGGACTTCGTTCACCACAACGTGGTATCAGTAGATTGGCTTGACTGCAGGTGGGTGAGCAGACCCAGTTTGGATCTACTAACACCAAGAAGACATCCTTATCACCGGATGGGGAATTTAGGTCCAGGAAGGCTGTGTAAACAAATCTTGCAGAGGGGAGGAAAAATAATTTTCCCTCTACCCTTCTGAGTTCTTGACTGAGAACTGCCTGTAAGAAAAGATAATAAACAGGAGAAGTTTAATAACCTGTATACCTCCTGTGGTCATGGGAGACCCAAGAAAACTGAGTAACTCCCCCATATGGCCCAAGCCACCACCTTAGATGCCATCTCCAGCTAAGGACAAAGGGGATGTTGGGGAGGTGGGGGAGCTGGTTACAGGAGGCTATAGGAAAAGCACAGTCAACAAGAGCAGAGTTGTTATGCAGATGTAGGACTTTGGCCTCTCCCTTGGTAGGGCTTGTGAAGATGTAGAGTCATCCTCCTCTTCCTGGTACAGAGAAGGAGATGCACTTATAAATGGAGATTTCATTTATAAATGTAAATGTTTCTCACAAAAGGGTAGCTTCCTGCTTTGGTTACTTCTTTGCATCTCATTTTTTATGGGGCTCCCACATGTACAAAATTAAATCTGTTTTTCTCCTGTTAATCTGTTTTATATCCATTTTCTTATTAAACCAGCAAAAGAAACTAGGAGGGAAGAAGGGAAGATTTTTCTGCTGCTACACCTTGTTGTTTTTTTCCCCATTGTACTTCCCACCCTCCATATTATATAATTTACTTATTTACTTTGTTTTTCTCTCCCCTGACTAGAAAGTAATGTATTCATTTCAGATGTAGCATAGATTTCAAAGTAAAAATAGACAACCATTATCCTGCATGATACACAAGTGCACAAAGACATGCAAAATCATGGCAGGAGTGCTGATAACAGTGAAAATGGGAGAGGAGGTTATCTCAATATGATAAAGGATGTATGAGAATACATACAATGAGATAGTTTCAGGTAATTACTATATACACATACATATATACTGATTTGGAAGATGTCCGGTCCCATATACAAAATCAAGAGTAAACCTACCAGTATGGGAAAAATATTTATAATGTAAGAGTCAAATATTCCTATTTAAGATTTTCATTTTGAAAAGAAATAATGCAACAGAAAATAGACAAAGATAATAGGAAACATCAAATAAGTTCCCATTAACATAAAAATTAGGACAAAAATGTCCACATATTATTATTCCTGAGGTTTCAACAAAACATTCAGTTAAGAAAAAGAATATGAATCTTTATAGATTGAAGAGGTAATGGTAAAATTACCATTATTTGCAGATAATATGATTGGAAACCCAGAAAAACTCCAAAGACAAAAATACAACTTGAAGTGCACTAATATTCTCATTAGAGGGGTCCCAGAAAGAGAAGAGAGAGAGAAAGGACCTGAGAAAATTTTTGAAGAGATAATAACTGAAAATTTCCCTCTCTTGGGAAAGGAAACAGTCACCCAAGTCCAGGAAGCACAGAGAGTTCCACACAGGATCAACCCAAAGAGGAACACAACCAAAGCACATAGTCATCAAAATGACAAAAATTAAGGATGAGGAGAAAATATTAAAATCAGCAAGAAAAAAGCAACAAATAACATACGAGGGAATTCCCATAAGGTTAGCTGATTTTTCAGCAGAAACTCTACAAGCCAAAAGGGAGTGGCGTGATATATTTAAAGTGATGAAAGGGGAAAACTTAGAACCAAGAATACTCTATCCAGCAAGACTCTCATTCAGACTTGATGAGAAATCAAAAGCTTCACAGATATACAAAAGCTGAAAGAATTCAACACCACCAAACCAGCATTACAACAAATGTTAAAGGAACTTTTCTAGTCATCAAACCATAAGAAAACAGAACAAAAAGAAGAAAGAGGAAAAAAAATTTAAAAGACCTACAAAAGATTGCTTTGGCAATTTGGGGTCTTCTGTGGTTCCAGATAAATTCTGGAATTGTTTGAACTAGTTCTGTGAAGAAAGAATGTTGTGAGTATTTTGATAGGGGTTGCAGTAGATCTGTAGATTGCTTTGGGTAGTAGGTAGTACAGCCATTTTGATCATCTTGATTCTCCCAATCCAGGACTACAAGGTATCTTTCCATTTCTTTGTATCATCTTCAATTTCCTTCATCAGTGTTTTACAGTTTTCAGAGTATAGGTGACCTCCTTGGTTAAGTTTATTTCCAGGTATTTTGTTGTTTTTGATGCAATGGAAATGTTTATGCCAGTTATAAAATTCTGGTTTTTGAAGGGCAAAAAAAAAAAAAAAAAGTGAATGAAGGGCTGCAAATGGCAAAATATCCTTCTTTATTATGGGTGAGTTGTATTCCATTGCTTATATGTGCTACATCTTCTTTATCCACTCATCTATTGATGTGCACTTAAGATGCTTCCATATCTTGACAATTATAAATATGTTGCTGTTAATAACAGGGTGTATGTATGTTTTTGAATTAACATTTTTGTTTTGCTCAGATATATGACCAGGAGTGGAACTGCTGGGCCATATGGTGGTTCTATTTTTAGATTTTTGAGAACCTCCCATATTGTTTTCCATAGTGGCTGCACCATTTTACATTCCCACCAACAGTGTACCAGGGTTCCCTTTTCTCCTTGCCAACATTCGTTATTTGTGTTCTTTTTAATGATGGTCATTCTAACAGATGTAAGATTTGCATTTCCTTGATATTAGTGATGTTGAGCAACTTTTCATGTTCCTGTTGGCCATCTGCATCTCCTCTTTTAGGAAAATGTCTGTTTAGTCCTGCTCATGTTTTAAATGGGTTGGTTTTTTGTTTGTTTGCTTTTTAATTAAAGTACAGTTGATTCAAAACATTGTGTTAATTTCTGGTGTCCAGCATGGAGGGACTTGGAGGGCATTATGCTAAGTGAAATAAGCCAGGCAGAGAAAGACAAATATTATAAGATACCACTTACACGTGGAATCTAAAAAAATACAATAAACTTGTGAATATAACAGAAAAGAAACAGACTCACAGATGGAGAGAAGGAACTAGTGGTTACCAGTGGGGAGAGGGAAGGGGGAGGGGTAACGAGGTGGAGGATTAAGAGGCACAAACTATGAGGTATAAAATCAGCTACAAGGCTGTGCTGTACAATGTGGGGAACACAGCCAATATTTTATATTAA